GACCCTGTGCGCGACATCCGCAGGAATTTGGGGACGCTCTGAGCTCCTCCAGAGGGGATTGGGGACACTCTGATCTCCTCCAGAAATGTCTGGGGACACTCTGATCTCCCCCAGAGGGGATTGGGGACACTCTGATCTCCTCCAGAAATGTCTGGGGACGCTCTGGTCTCCTCCAGAGGGGTCTGGGGACGCTCTGGTCTCCCCCAGAGGGGTCTGGGGACACTCTGAGCTCATCCAGAGGGGTTTTTGTGACACTCTGATCTCCCCCAGTGGGATTTTGGGAACCCGAGATCTCAATCCCAGGGCTTTCCACCCCTTTCTAACCCTGGAATTCTCTCCCCTCCCAGCCTCCCGTGCCGACCCTGTGCGCGACATCCGCTGCGAGTTCTGCGGGGAGTTCTTCGAGAACCGCAAGGGGCTCTCGAGCCACGCCCGCTCTCACCTGCGCCAGATGGGCGTGACCGAGTGGTCGGTGAACGGCTCCCCCATCGACACCCTGCGCGAAATCCTCACCCGCCGCCGCTCGGGCCACCCCAAGGCCCTGCCCAAGAGCCTCCTGGCCAGCCTGGCCCCGCTGGAGCCTCGCCCTCCCCCCGAGCTGCACCTGCCCCCCGGCCTGGCCAAGAAAGTCCCGGCTCCTCTGAGCCCTCCCGGAGCTGGCGCGGCCTCGCCGCCGCCGCCCACGGCCAGGAAAGTGTTCCCGGGGCTGCAGGCGCCGTCCCTGCAGAAAAAACTCAAGCAGGACCAGCTCAGGGTGGAGATCAAGCGGGAGTTGATGGCTGGAGGAGGAGGAGGAGGAGGAGGAGGAGCCGGGATCCATCCCGGGGAGGCGCCGGCGCCGCCGGACCCGGCCTGGGCTGCGCACGAGGAGATGGCGCCGCTCAACCTCTGTGAGTTTGGCAAAATAGGGAAGATATCCCAGAAATTTTGGGGGTTATCCCGAGAATTTCGTGCTTTTGGGGTTTATCTTGAGGATTTGGGGGGTTTCAGGGCTCATCTCATGGATTTCAGGGGTTCAGAGATCATCCCAGGGATGAGCTCAGAGCATCCTCAAATCTCTGGGATGATCTCTGAACCCATCCCAGGATTTTGGGAGCTTGAGATCCCCTCCAGAGGGGTCTGGGGACACTCTGATCTCCAGAAATGTCAGGGGACGCTCTGAGCTCCTCCAGAGGGGATTGGGGACACTCTGATCTCCCCCAGAGGAGTTTTGGGAACCCGAGATCTCAGTCCCAGGAGTTTCCATCCCTCTCTAACCCCGGAATTTCCCCTCCCAGCTTCCCGTGCCGACTCAGTGCATGACATCCACAGGAATTTGGGGACACTCTGATCTCCCCCAGAGGGGTCTGGGGAGCCCAAGATCTCAATCCCAGGGGTTTCCATCCCTTTCTAACCCCGGATTTTCCCCTCCCAGCCTTCTGTGCAGACCCTGTGCGCGACATCCGCAGGAATTTGGGGACGCTCTGAGCTCATCCAGAGGGGTCTGGGGACGCTCTGAGCTCATCCAGAAATGTCTGGGGACACTCTGATCTCCCCCAGAGGGGTCTGGGGACGCTCTGATCTCCCCCAGAGGGGTTTGGGGACGCTCTGGTCTCCTCCAGAGGGGTTTGGGGACACTCTGGTCTCCTCCAGAGGGGTTTTAGTGACACTCTGAGCTCCCCCAGAAGGGTTTTGGGAACCCGAGATCTCAATCCCAGGGGTTTCCATCCCTTTCTAATCCCGGATTTTCCCCTCCCAGCCTCCCGTGCGGACCCTGTGCGCGACATCCGCAGGAATTTGGGGACACTCTGAGCTCGTCCAGAGGAGTCTGGGGAGCCCAAGATCTCAATCCCAGGGCTTTCCATCCCTTTCTAATCCTGCATTTTCCCCTCCCAGCCTCCCGTGCCGACTCAGTGCATGACATCCACAGGAATTTGGGGACACTCTGATCTCCCCCAGAGCGGTCTGGGGAGCCCAAGATCTCAATCCCAGGGGTTTCCATCCCTCTCTAATCCTGCATTTTCCCCTCCCAGCCTCCCGTGCGGACCCTGTGCGCGACATCCGCTGCGAGTTCTGCGGGGAGTTCTTCGAGAACCGCAAGGGGCTCTCGAGCCACGCCCGCTCTCACCTGCGCCAGATGGGCGTGACCGAGTGGTCGGTGAACGGCTCCCCCATCGACACCCTGCGCGAAATCCTCAGGAAGAAATCCAAGCCCTGCCTCATCAAGAAGGAGCCTCCGGTGCCGCC